AAGCGAGAGTTGTCGATTTGAAATTGTCTTTAATGCATATATAAAAATGTTACGTTTGCTTTTCAATCCAAGTAATATATCCAATATATCATGTTGCATATAAATGTTGCATATTACGGCATAAATGCGTGTCGCAAGTATTTGTCTTTTGAAGATATAGGTGTATGTGTGTATATATATATATATATGTGTGTGTGTACACATATATATATATATATATAGTAATAAGAATAAAAATTAAAATTTTAATATTTTTTATATAAATTAAACTTACAAAATCTACAAATAAGATCTTGTATTTCTAATATATGATATTATATTATAAATTTTTCTGAATTCAATTTACAGATATATTAAAGCGATACGAGTCTTTTTGAACTTTATTAATTATATTACTCATTAAAAATGTATCAAGAAAATTTTATTATATATGCGCATGGAATACAATTTTAATAACATTTAAATTGCATTATTATACATCATATGTAAAACTTACACAGTTAATAAAAAGATTAATTAAGTTAAGTACGAAAAATTTAGGAAGAATAAAAAAGAGAAAGAAGAGGAAAGGAGGGAGAAAGAAAAGAAGTAAAAGGAAAGAGAAGAGAAGAAAAGAGAAGAGAAGGAAAAAGAGAAAATATTAAAAAAAATAAAATAAAATTGTATTTTATGAAAATCGGAATGTGATCAAGCTTTTGCTATTATATTATTGTTTCGGAACTTTTGATTCTTTGTAATCGTTTCTGAACGAATGCTCATTATAGTCAAAAGAAATGAGTAAATGAGATTTATAACATCGTTCGTTTACAATTTGAAAACTTTCAAAGGTCTCACACACACACACACACACACACACACAACACACACACACTTTTATAAAATTTTTATTTGGTACTATAATTACGATATTATAATTATTTTTTAGTTTTTTAGATTAATTTCTTATAATTGATTGGTTATACTGATATATTTACATAATAAAACTATATATATTTACATAATAAGACTTATTTAAAATTCATAAATTGAATAATAATAAATGAAAATTGAGAGATATTATGCAGTATAGTAAAATAATACTTTCAGAAATCCTGATGAAATTTAACTATCTTTGGTTCAATCTTTTTCTAAATTTTTACTTAGCTTATAAAAAAATATTACTGTTTTACAGCTATACAGATATAAATGTAATCTGTTAAAATATTACATTTTACAAACGAGATTCTATTATACAAGTTAATCTTCTCTCTAACAATATTAGCCTTTTTAAAAAATAAGATTGCATACATGCGCGCGCGCACGCACACACACCACACACACACACACCAACCACACACACACACACACACACACACACACACACATCCAATGCTTCAGTGTTTCAGGGAAAAGCTTCTTGTTATTGAATGTGTCACTATATTAATATATAAAAAGATAATAAAATTGTACAAGATTTCTAATAATGTTTTCTTTGCTATCGACAGACGAGTAGATTCTCAAAAAAATCATTTGACACATTTTTAATTGAAAATAAATTAGAAATTGATTGAAAGGCAATCAGTTGATTCTAGTTCTAGAATATGGACATTCTAGGTCCAAGTGTTTCAGGTGTGATCATGAAATCATCTAGATTGGATGATTCTAATAACTGAGCCATGTACTTACAACGTACATCATGTGGACAGTCCAGGTGCGATCAACCGATTTACCTGGATCATAAATAATTCTATTTAATCCTGGGATACACGTATGTCACATGGACAATTCCAGGTGCGATCAGGAAGACGAACAGATCGGACGATCTCAGTAGTCGGATCCTCGCGTCCGCGAGACCGATGTATACGACGCGCGTGGACGATGACGTATACCGTCCTGACACGTGCCTTCCTCTTGTGTGCGTTGCAGGTGTGGTGCTGTTCTCGTCGACAGTCTACTTCGCGGAGGCCGGCACGCAGGACAGCTTCTTCAAATCGATACCGGACGCGTTTTGGTGGGCGGTGGTCACAATGACGACCGTGGGCTACGGCGACATGAGGTACAGAGCCACCGGGGGCGTTAAACCCACTGAACCGGTGTTTTCTTCCTTGCATTGCAGGTGTGGTGCTATTCTCGTCGGCGGTATACTTCGCGGAGGCCGGCTCCGAGAATTCATACTTCAAGTCCATTCCGGACGCGTTCTGGTGGGCCGTTGTCACGATGACGACCGTGGGCTATGGTGACATGACGTATGATGTACTCACTTTCATTTAAGACTTTAGTTAATGCCCGCAAAAAAACGATGACCGTTTAGGTCGTTGAGAGGAAGGAGAGAGAGAGAGAGAGAGAGAGAGAGAGAGAGAGAGAGTGAGGCAGGAAATAGAAGTGGGAGGGAGGAAGGGGAAAAAAATAAGAGAGAAAGGACGGGGAAAAAATTAAAACGAGGAAAAAATTGGAAAAAGGAAAAAGAGAAAGAAAGAAGAAAGAGAGATGAAGAAGGAAAAAAGAGTGAGAGAGTAAGAAAGGGCACATCAAAGCGAGAAAGAGAAATTTAGGGAGAAGGAAGAAAATGAGAAAAGGAGGGAAAAGAAGATCAGAGAGAAAAAGAATTAAAGGATGGGAGGGGGAGAAAGAGAGCGAGAGAGAGAGAGAGAGAGAGCGAGAGAGCGAGAGAGAGAGAGAGAGAGAGAGAGAGAGAGAGAGAGAGAGAGAGAGAGAGAGAGAGAGATATCTAACAAACACACGCAGTTCCTCGACTTTTTTGGTCACTCAACATTTTTTGAGATTGCACCAACACTGACTAAAAGTTTAATAAAGATATAAATAATAAGATTATTTGGAGAATCATAAACTCTTTAAATAAATTAATAAATCAAATAAATATACAATAGTCGGTACGCAATGTGAATATTATTAATATTACGCAATAATTATTAAATTGTATTCTATAACTCAGATTAGTCAAGATTGTTGGCGCAATCATTTTTTCCTTTTTACCTTTTCTTTTGATTGGCACGCGTTTTTCGAAGCACGCTTTGATTATTCTACGTTAGTCATGTATTTTCTTGTTTGTTTGAAATTTGTAATGATGGACAATACATATTTAACGCGAAATTTTGATAAGTAAGAGTTTTTTTGTTGTATACAGAAAAATAATTTTGCATAAAAATTTTAATTAATCTAATTATGTGTTCATGAAAATGTACGCAAAATATAAATTTAATTGAGAATCCATCTCTAATTTGATTATATTATATAATGGTTTATAATAATACCGTTATAATTCCATATAAATATATAATTCCATACAACTTAATCATGCCATATAATTGTACATAATACCATTATATGATATGGTTAAGTTATTTATATGGAATATTTCAGGATAATGATTAAAGCTTTTACATATAAATATCAATTTTTTTTTTATTGAACTGAATAAAACTGATAAACTTTTCCAATTTCTTTTGATCTTTTATTGACGCACTTATTAATTATAAAACTAATATTTCTTTTATGTTTTACATCTTTACATTAAAATTCAAAGCCTCTTACTAGAATCTTTGATATATTCTAGGTCTTTTTATAAATTTTTTTATCATATTTCATAAGCATTATTCTTATTAAATTTAATAGAAGCACTTTCTGATGAAATTCATATTATTACATTGCTCAATCATAATCAGAAGACTTCAAATATCGCGAATAAAAACTGCTACTTATCACGTCATTTTCTAATTATGCAACCTATATGCAATTATATGTTTCCATAATATTTTAATAAATATATTACATTTCGTATTCCATTTCATTCATTTCATAATATTTTTGTTTTTGGCTATTTACGTTTTCTTATATTGCAAAAGAATCAAACTTTTCTTAATAATTAATTTATTCTAAATTCATTATAAATCGCATCTCTCATTAAAACATACTATATACATCCGTGAATTTTCTAGAGCTATTATGTAGTAGCTTTCTCGGCACTTCGCGCAAACGTATGAATGTATAAAATTAGTGTAGCTCAAATCACATCAGCAACATCAATTTCGACGCTCATAAAGATTTTGACGATGCCCATTATTTCTCTTGCGCATTATACATTTCGCCATTTGCTCAAACGTGATTTTTAAGAATTATATCGTATAGATATCGAGAAAAATATTCTCGATATCTTATTTGATGTTAAAATCATAATAAAATTTATTTAAGTTATACATTTTAAAATTTTAAAATATCTGCTGTATTCGATAAATAAAATTGTATTAAATATTATTTTTAGATTTAAAAGAGAGATAAAGTTTTAATTAATTTTGTTATTTTCATTCTTTAATAATTGAATGAAATCATCTTTGGTATTTTGGTAATTCTCGATTTTCCTCTCTTGAAAAGAATTTTTGATGTAATACGACCTAGAAGGTCTTTCGAGTAATTGCTCTTCGTAAATCAATAAGTATCCTCAGACACTTTGGAATTGTTCCGGAGCGAAAAATGCAGAGATTTGAAATTACCATATTGTTACATTCTTGTCATCGACGAAATAATATTGAAGACCAACATTCTTACAGGAATTTATGTTGAAATTAAAGTAATTAAGAGTAAAAGAAATTGACAATATAGTTTAATTTTATGAGTTTTATTAGTTTCGTAGAGACGCATACATATGTTTTGAACTCAATAATATTTTCATTTAAAACTGTGATTTTAATATTATCGTAAGTTTGATTATCAATAGAAATGATGACAATAGAAAAAAAAACAATAGAAAAAATTGTAATTTTGTGACAATATATAAGATATTATAGCATTATAAGTTTCTACCTATTTATGATGCTCATTTATATAATAAAAAATCAATTTAATAATGTATTAGTTATATTTATTATGTTAATAATCGGAAATTTATATCAATCGTCGATAATGTCAGCGTTCTTCAATTATCTTTGGGTTTTTGAGGCCCTTTTTGTAAGGACGAAAATTTTTTCAGGGTTGACGGTCTTTAATATGTAGTATCTCGTCGGTGCTTTTGCGTATCGATCGATGCACACCCGCGAAATGCGCGCGACCGCGAGGTATCCAGGCAGCCGCAGCTATTCTACTTCCGATAACCTCCGTGACGCGGTTTGAACTCGCGCTATAAATGACCAATATTGTTTGTAAGACTATGATATTTTTCCATTGTATATTGTCAGTTGTCATCTAGTTGTCCAGTAGAACCATAACGCTGAGTATCAACGATTAATAAATAATAGATTTCGTCTTGAAATATGTATGTATAGATTTATCTTACAAATTAATAAAAAAAATGAAATTGTTTGTTCTATAAAAAAAAAGAAATAATGAATAATAATGAAATAATGCACGGAAAAAATTTATATATTAATATTACAATAAATTTACAACAAATTAATTCTTACTGATTAATTTCGTTATTAACATAAAAAAATATCAAGACATGCAATGACCACGCGCGATCTTCTTTTTTATTTATTTTATTTCAAGTGATTTGATAACGCAATCAATGCGCAATGGCGTGATCTATTTTGAGCAAAAGCGAATGTTGTTTGCCTATTAAGTGATCGCAGAATAACATCAACCCGCATGGCTCACGCATGATACTATTTATCACCGTGAAAGTTTTTGGAATAGCGGAGTATGTCATCAGGGAAGATCTGCTGAGCAAAAACGAGTCGACTGTGATTCTTCAAACAAACCCTAATAGATGTATAAATTCTAACTTCGTTTCTTTAATCTTCGCTTACAATTAGGTAGATTTCTAAGTGAAATAGAAAGAAATTACATTACCTCGATATGTCGAAATGATGAATGTGTCTCTACATTACATCTCTGTATATCATTTGATCGACGAACAGAAAAAGATTATCATTTGCGATCGTGTGATCTCCGACCAGTGAATTGATCAAGTCATACTTTTTTTAACTTAATTATTTACAAAAATAATTTTTAATTATCCATACTTTTGCTTTTATTCAAATTCATTCGCATTTTATTCAATTTCTTTTCGGTAATTTGATTCTTCTTTGGTGTGCTTATGAAATAAAAGTTTTCTGAATTTTCTAATTTTACAAAATTTTGTTTACAAAAAAAATTTAATGCATGTATTCTTGTTTGACGATTGCCCAGCATGCGATTGTCAGAACTATTATCATTACAATAATCATTCTATCACCTTTATATCGTTATATTTTAAATGTTATTTTCTTGCTCAACCTCATTTTTTCACGTGACTATGCCATTTTCATTAATATAATCATATTAATGAAGATCATACATTATGAAGATCCCTAGTATAATACATAACATCTTATGAGTAAAATCTCTTTTTTGGAACTAATATAATATCTACTTTAATTATTTATTACAGGGTTGGCAACGTTACCTCAAAAATAAATCGTTACTGTTATCGTTCTTTTTCCTAAAAAAAAAATAACTCGTTCCCATTATAGTTATTGATTTGCAAAAGTAACTCGTTACCATTACTCAAAATATAACGAGTCATTACTTTTTCATTACTTTTTTTCTTGACTCTAATTGAATATTATATGCAGATTTTGCGGTAAATGTAAAAAAGATTCAAAATTCTATTTTTTGATAGAGGAATAAAGCTAAAAAAATATATGCCTATAGTAAACATTATGCGTTATTTTCATGAATGAAATAGATACTGTCATATCACATAATATATATTGCATTTTTTGTAATTTTTATACTTAAATAAATTTATTTTTATACTTAAATTAATTTATTTAAATAAATTTATTACTTTTAATAAGATATCTTTAAATTATAACTTTAAATTATAACGTTTAACTCTTAATACATATATAATTTTCTTTTACTATGCATAATGAGTCGTTTGTGTGTGAGTTAATTTCTAAATACAAAAATTATGAATAGATTCCTATTGTATATTTTAACATCTTTAAAAAATATTTATGTAATTATATATTTAAAAAGAAGGAATTAAAGATAAAAAGAATTATTTAGCCAGGTGCAGTATTTCGAAGAAAAGAAACACGAATGATTTATCGTGAATACTCTAAGAGTAAAATAATATTATAATAAAAAAATAGTATTGTTCGTAATCTGCATTATATATAATACATATATTTAATTTTGAGATATAAAACAGAAAAAATTTTATTTTAAGAAATTATACTGTAAAGATTGTATCATATAATCTTCTTTCCACAAGGATGTTTATTAGCGTAAAATCTCACGTCCGATCTCTATATGCTATACATAGAGAGTTAGTCTATACGTGTGAACTGTGAATACAATGAAAAAAAGGCGTCGTAATCGCAAGATTTAGACAGCTAATCAGGTTGTTAATGTTTCATCTCTGTTTTATAGGGCTATAGTTACGACTAAACTTTTACGTAATTAGAAATGAAATAACGATAAAAATAACTAGTGAAATCATTATCGCTACTCCAAAAATATAATTGCGTTACATGAACGTTACTCAGAAGAACTCGTAACGTCATTCATTACCGAAAAAAGTAACGATAAATGACGTTACAAATAACGCGTTACTTGCCAACCCTGATTTTACTGTTAATGTTGTATAGATGCTGGCGAATTGTTTTGTATCTTCATGAATTTGTTATATCAAATATTAATGAAAAATTCAATTAACTAACAAGAATCATGAATTTGTCTAATCAATCATCAACAGAAATTAATCGTATCGTTTAACTCTTAATTCTGTAGAATATATGCTATATGTAGGTACGTGAAATATTGAACAGAATAATTGATTAACACAGTTTTTGCAATATGTATTAAACATTCAAATGATTTCGAAGTATTGAGCTATTTTTATTCTGTTCCAATAAAGATACCATAATTTTTCATGCTTCTTCGATACACAACGAGTCATTGTTCTGGAACATTTTGCGAACGTCAGCGAAAGAGAAGATACTCGATTGTTTTGCTCTTCTTTAAAAACTCAAAGAATCGATTCAGTCAAGTGCCATTCTGTACTCATGTGCATCATTGGTATATATCGAATTGTTCTGACTTTATTGGTCAAATGTAGCCAAATAAATTGACTGATCAGAGTCAATGTATAAATTCTAAAGCTCGATCTACATAGCACGCAGAACGCCGGTTGCAACTTATGACCTGCGTTCTGCGTGCTATGCAGATCGAGTTTCATGGAATATAAAATAATATCAGTTAGCGCATTATTTTCAGTGGACTAATAACATAATATTCTTTTTCTAAGGAATTGTAATACATTATGAAGAGATCATTTTGACGAGTCCTTACATTAGTTTTTTAGTCTAGTCTAGGCTGCTCGCTTATACTAAATGCATCATGCTATGTTTGTATACGGTCGAAAATGGGATCGTATGACGTTGGCAGAATGCAAAATTGAAGGTGTAAACTGTCAAAATATTACATGTCAAAATATTACTATTGTAAAAGAGATGATCCTTTGTAATACAATTTTATTAATAGGTGAAATGTGCATACAAGTGAATTGTTTGAATATATATATAATAGATATAATTGATACGCAATATTTTTTACAGCATATGCCTACTTCATTTAACATTCTGCCAATGCACGCGGATTGTCATGTAACTACTGCCACCAGTACCGTATAAGTAGCGTCACACTAAACACGGCAGACTCACACAAAGATAGAAACACCACACCTAGCACCAAGCCAAATTTTGTGATCATAATCCCAAGCTGCATTAAAGCCCGATCTACAAAGCACGCAGAACGCGAGTCGCAAGTCGCAAGTTTGTTGCGATAGTCAATCTAATATGTCAATTTTAAAATTGACGCATCAGATTGGTTGTAGATCGAGCTTAACACACCGCACTATACGCATGATATTTGATAAGATATTTCTCTCCATTTTGTTGCAGGCCCGTCGGGGTTTGGGGAAAAATTGTGGGCTCGTTGTGTGCAATCGCCGGTGTTTTGACGATTGCTCTACCCGTTCCCGTAATTGTCTCCAATTTCAACTACTTTTATCATCGTGAGACTGACCAGGAGGAGATGCAATCACAGAATTTCAATCATGTTACTAGTTGTCCGTATCTTCCTGGCACCTTAGGTATGTCCTATTATCTTAGAATATACAAATTTATTATTTTTAAGTTTCTATCGTACTGATCAAAAATTATTTAAAAAAGGTTGTTTTTTTATAACGGATGCATTCAGAAGGACAACCGCTTATTAAACGCTCAGTGAACGATTGTCATTCTGAGTGCATCCAATAAAAAAAGTAAATTAGTGACGAGAATTCAAGGTAGGGATGGGCAAGAAATCAATATTTGAGTGCTTTTTTTTGTGAAAAATTGATCAAGTAGCCAGTGTTTTTGGATTCTTTTTAAACTTAATTTTCTCTCGATGAATCTTAAATTATTACTTTAAAAAATGTAAAAAAAGAAACAATTGATTTTCTTGATTACTCTTGAAAGCGTAAAACTCTATATACCAAAGTAGCGCAAAGGTCTTCCATTTTTACTTACTAACCATATTCTATACTAATAATACTAAGTGCTTATTGGACTACAGACTAGATCGAAATGGCGGTCGAAATAGCCAATAGGAAGATTGGCGGCATTTCGACTCAGATCAAAGAAAAGCGCTACTTTAGTATATCCGGAGCTTTAGAAAGCAGTTGGTCTCATCTTATGCTCATTTCCACCAATGTAGATTAACTTTAATCTCGGTTCAACTTATTCTTCGTCTTTTTCTAGTTCTAAAGATTAGAAACAGACGAAGAGTAAGTTTTAGAACTACATAAGTTTTAGAATCTACATTGATGGAAATAGGCATTAATGAGATGAATTAAACTGTTTAAAAAATTTTTGGATTAATTAATTAACCTCGATTTTTTCAAGATATTCTCAATTATAGAAAATGTTTTTAGAAATCGGTTTTTTGACACTCGAAATCTTTTTTTTAACATTACTTATCCCTATCAAGGTGATTTTGTCAAGTAATTTTTATACTATTGTAATTTCAAAATATTACGCAAACACTATTTATAGATATTCTAACTTCAAAATATTACGCAAACACGTATTTATAGATATGTCAGAAAAATGATTATTGAATTATAAATAAAATAAATTTGTTTGAAAATATTGTCATATTGAATCAGTCTTGTAACTTACTAAATGTATTGTACATTGTCATTTTAAGAATTGTTGAGAATAGATCAATATTCAAATAGAGATAAAAAGTGAATGGAAATTTTTAGGGAATACGTGCATGTACCTTTCAGGTATGAAGAAGATCTCGATGTCAGAATCTTCGTCGGATATGATGGAATTAGAAGAAGGCACCTTATTCTCTCATCAGGAGATTACAAAGAAGTCAAATTGCAACCCTCGCCACAATAATAATATCAATCCAGCTTGCATGAGTATCGAGACTGACGTCTGACTACTAGGTATGCATTGTAAATTTAATATAATATCCACGCGATATTTATATCGATATCGGTATTGCAACAGATACTTTTATTTCTTATCTCGGATCGATTATAGTGAAGGAGACGGTGGCAGCGTGGTGGCCGTTATTGAGCCAATTGTCAAAGGGATGCATCTGCATTTCCCTGCGGTGCCTGACGTAGGCCTCCTTCACCCGTCATCATAGTCGTAAGCGGCTGGCATCACTCGCTAGCCTGTCCAGGTCCATCATTGCGAGGGGCGTCTCAGGTCAAAAAATACGCGAAGGATCCAGGATTATGATCCTTCGGAGAGCCGATCTGGCAGCTTTTTCCATCTGAGACGTTAGAAAAACAGAAGAGAGTGAGGTGGATTCAAGGGTGTGTGAAGAGCTAGAGATGGGGATGAATCTAACCCGTTTCCGACACATCATCACCTTTCCCACCTTCTCAACGAGCTTGCGCCCCGCGTAAGGACCCACGTGCGAACGAAGGGGACGGGATATTCCTCGTCCGCGTGCGAGCGTGCACGCGTGCGGCCCAACCCCCGACACCACCGACTCCAGTGTTCAAAACAAAAAAAAAATAAAGATGTAACAAATGATACCAAAGAAACATCTTGGCGTTTTCGTATAAGCGCTGTCGAGTGTCCCCCCGTCTTTACGGGCTCCTCCGCCTTTCAAAATACCAAACAGATGAAATAAAGAAGGGGGAGCCGGTGAAACGGAAGCAACAAATGGGGATTGTACCAGATAATACTATATTAATTATTATTAATATAAATTAATTGATTACCGTACATATAGAGTGAGGGTAAGTTAACAAAGTACGTTTCATGATTATCACAAATGCGAAAACGTTTAGAAAATGCTGCTTGCGGAGATGAAAAAGGGAAAGCGACAAGAAAGCTTGTAAAAGATGCATTAAGAATATAGAACTGAATGATGATGACTACAGAGATAAAGAGAAAGAGAGAGAAAGAGAGAGAGAGAGAGAGACAAAAGGGAATGAGAAAAAGAGAAAAAGATGGAGTGTGTGTACGGCGTAGACTGTTCTGTTCCTTTGTTTTTTTTTTTAAACAAAGGACACTGAGAAAGCTGATTTTCTAATCAATTGTATGATATGTTATTCGACAATAGGATTTATTTTTTTGCCTTATTACATTCATGCACTTGCACATGTAACATATTTAAATGCTGATAAAATGATAATGTCAACGATTGGTTGATAAAGTTGAATTATTTTTTAAAAAACGAAAAATAGATTTCAATTTCAAATTATTGATTATTAATGACCATAATCGGATATTTGCAGAAACGATGATACAAATAATTTTTATGATATCCCAAAAAAAATGTGAAAAATTACTTTAGCAATTCTGAATTACACCCCCGCTACTTAAAATTATAAAATATGTAGAAATTGCTATATAGATTACATTTTTCACGAAAATAATTCATTGATATTGAAATTACAATAATTTTATGTTATGGTTACGTTTAAAATTCTTAACATATGTAAGAAATAGCTATTCGCTTATTCAAAATTATCTTTACGCTTAGATATATCTAAATAAAAAGAAATTACGTATCAGTATTAAGTGACGGGGGTGAAAATATTCGTCTGAATAGCGAATTCCGAGATATTATACAATAGATCGAATATGAATAAAGATGGTATATATGAGCAATTGTAATGATAAGAAACGTCCAAAAAAAAAATAAATAAAAACCGAAGATGTCTGCCAGTGGCGCACGAATTTTATGCCCAAATCATAATTTCAATCTCTCAAATATGCAATTTGATATTTCTGTCTTCGATATGATCGATAACGATTTCCTGAAAATCGTGGATGATTGCTTGCAGAAGCAAAATAATGATGATAATTATCATGCACAAATTTGAAACACGTCTGTTAATAATTTGCATACATTATGTTCTTGATTAAAGCTCAAAGATAAAAGAATCACTAAGTGATTTCTTTATGAAAATATTTTTAATTAAACAAGAGTATCTCTTTGATAATAAAGAATAGAAACTTGTGAAATGTTAAGAAAAAACTTATATTGCTCTTATAGTTTTC